GTCCCTGACCCGCGGCTGCATCTCTAGCACCTGCTCAGGCTGACCTTCTGAGGCTGGCAAAGGCTCGGGTAGATTCTAGCCAACTCAAAATGCCACTTTGTTTTCTAGAGACACCATTTTCCTGTGTTTTAGACAGTCTTACCCTCTGTTACTGAAAAAAGGTCGGTGTGTGATTCAAGGTCAATTTACTGCACAAAGGACTTGGTTTCCTGTTATCAAGCCTAGACTTTCATCAGAATAAACATCCCCGCACTGCACGTCCTGTAAAGAAATACAAGTAATATGAACAGAATATATCATGACATGCTTGTAAAAGAAACCGGTACCTTATATTTGCTTACCACATCCCCCTTCTCCAACTGGTAGGTGCTTTCTGAAAGTCCTCCAGGGCAGGTCTTGGGTGCTTTCTTGTAAATAGCAGCAACAGGCCTTGAACCTTCCTGAACTATGCTTAAGGGTATGTCTTCTCCATAACAAAGACCCCCTCCTTGAAAAGGTGTTAAATGCAGAGCTAAATCCATTAGCTAATCAGACAAGAAAACATCAAGACACTTGCACAGGGAATCGTTAGCCCTTCCAAAAGAAACCACGCAAAGTGAATGGGGACAGTTGTATTAGTTCTGTTACAACCGGACCATACGATCACCGTATTGAATCCACGGATATTTTACAGCTAGAGTATCTTAATTCTTATTTTTCTGGCATATAAACGACAAACTCCACAGCAAGGTATTTAGAAGACAAGTCACAAGGCGGCCAATCGATTCGGCATTAGAACAGTAGGTCATTGATGCTCCGGGAAATGCCATACAGGCATGTCTGGCACACAGATACCCAGGGCGGTGTTTCCTATGGAAAACTCCTGTGAGGCTTTGGAATCTTAGCCTCTGCTTAAAGGAAAGATATACGTGCCAACCTGACTTAAATTAGCCTTGGAAACTGCTTATGGAAAATGTGCCAGCTCAGATGCAAATCCCTCTTACTTACCTCGTGATGACAACAAAAGCCTGATGAAATTTTACTCATCCATTAACAAAAAAGACTTTGCCCAGCGACACACGTGGGTGGGATTCCAGTAGGGTGACATTATGCTTTTGGCACGAGGATCTTGGCCCCCAAGGATGGCAACCCTGTGGCATGACAAATGCAGGCACTCCACTACAGCAGGCCACAACCACATACTTTACCTACTGACTCAAGAGGAAGAATGCAGAAAACCTACAAAAATTAAAGTTCCAGCCAAAATCCCGAGATGGTAATCTCACAGAACAGTTCGTCAGGTAAAGATTTATGATTAGAATTATAGTCATGAAAATACTAGCTGATTTCTAATCACATTTATAGCAAGGTATATCCAAGGTATTTCACTGGTATCACTTCAGAAATCCACTGGAGGAAAAAATGATCGCTTAGCTCATTTGGACAGTGTTACAATATGATTTTTGTATTACCACCACGGATAGAGGTCCCTCCACGCTCCATTGAAATCAATGGCAAAACTCTTAACTCTCCTGTTTTAAGCATGAAAGAATCTTCATTTCTCCTACTCCTGCGTCGTGTTTCATTTCTTCTCTCTGCTCTCCTTCCAAAACTGAAAGCAGCAGCAACCAGATCGGATGATTTCCTAGATCGCACGCGGCCATGGAAATCCCGAAAGAATCCTCAGTTTTCAGGTGAAAAACGAATGTTGACACCTGTCCATAAGATTACTGTGCAGTACCAGGGGCTGGGGTTATTTTCTTGTTGAGGACAGTGTATTTAAGGATGTGGTTGAGACAACGCATTTTCCGTTTGACTTCAGTTTGACTTTCAGTTTGAAACAGAGATACTACTCTTCTTGTTAAACACTATCCCAGAAACAAGGAACGATTTTTAGAAGCAGCGCCAACCTGTTTGTGGCTCAGCAGGTTAAGGATATCCACATTACATCTATTAAAAAGCCTGTGGTCACAATAAATGAGAAAGGGTTCCCCTTCTTCACTGATTTTCTAAAAAACCCTGTGAAGCATTCACTTTCTCCTTACAGAATGTTCCCAATATTCTGGTTTTTAAAGCGGCTTGTAATCTTAATTGCTGTTCGTATCTTTGGGAGATCAAAGGGAGGATGTCTGTGATTCTTTGTATTACTCACTGTTACATTAGCACAAAGATCACATATTCATTTATTTTGGTTTAAGAGGTAACAGTCTCCTTTCACTGCACGCACATAATTACTGTAAGCATTCAGGGGACTTGCCAAATGATGCATGGGGGGAGGAGGAGAATCTTTGAAGAAAATTGTTCAAACGTAATTTAGTTCACTAATTGGCAAGGGACCGTTACTAACGAATTGCTTCTGTTTTATGTCAGTAGTGAATCAGGTTGATGATGTGTAACATACATTAAGTCAGTTAACGAGTATTAACTAGAAATGCGACTGAAACACAAGAAAAAGGGTTTTTTTACCTTTAGCTAGCCAAGCAGAATTGCTAATAAATAAAAGGATATGTGTAAGTGGCTTATATGATTCCAATCTGCAGTGGAAAGACTTTTCTTAGAATCTGATGGTAACCACAAGTTTGTGGGAAAGAAAAATCAGACGCTTACTGTGGCAGTTCATCACAAGTTACTTTATTTCTAACCAAGCCTGAAATGAAAATGACTAAAAGTCATTACCGTAAAATAGCTGATTAGAAGCCAATGTGAACTGAGACAGTGAGTCGCTGGCCATGGCTACAAGACCAAGACACCGTGCAGCCAAGTAAGCTGTGGATTTACTTCGTGGTGTCTGTGTGCACACTCTTACTATGTGGTAACACAAGATAGCTTACTTCACTTTCCTTGTGGGACAAGACACTTTGCATCTTCCAGCGTGCACCAAGCAAGCTGGCATGCCCCTAAGCCTTGTGGTATCGTGCGTACAGGAGAAAGACTAACTTGTCTGAGTAGCCACAATCACAGACACGTTTGACTTTCTCCTATATGCACAACACAACAACATGACAAGACTTTGGGTGCAGACAGCAGTCAGTGGGCTGAAGGAATATGGAAGCCACACAGCCTAGCAGTGCCAGGGCAGAGCTTTCAGGTCAAGGCAGGTCCTGAGCTGTAGCTGTTCTGTGAAGAACGCAGGCCTCCCGTGGATGTGCAGGCATGAGAGCAAATATCATTACAAAATCTGGGCAGAAGGAAGATTTCTGGTTTGCTCTGGCATGTGAACAAACTGGCTTATTAGGCCACAGGTGCAAAAATGAGAACACAGGACTGAAAGTGAGGATAAAATGGAGAAGTCTCATGTTCTACAAGTTTTGTGAAATAGGCATCAAGCCATGAAACCTGCCAGACACTGCTGCAGGCTCAGGGACAGTCAGCGGTCCGTCTGCCTTGGGCCGAGTAAGGACAGCTGTGGTATTAGCATTAGGATTGCAATGCATTACTCAGCTACCTGGAGAAGGAGGTCGACTGAACATCTAGGGGTGTTCAGCTTCAGCGTTATCTATACCCAGTCAGCCAGTTCTAGTCTGGCTTTCAACTCTTTCAGATGGCCAACCATCTGAGTAAAAGCACAAGAGAGATGCATCAATCCCCACATTTTATCCCGTCAAGGAAAGATCACTGTTTCAGCAGTGAGGAAGATCCCTGATGTCTGGAGCCAACCTCAAGCACTGCCACAGCAGAAGACATCACCGTATGAATGGCGATAGGGAACCTGGTGTGTCAAGTGATAGCACTGGTGGTCGAGGTCCTTCAACCAGATGCCCTAGACACTATGGGTCACATACTTGTCAAGTGATCCTCACTGCTTTCTACAGAGCTGTCTGACATACACCACGGAAGAAACACCTTACATCCAAAACCATTGCTGTTCTTCAAGTCCTGTCCTGAAATATCTTTGCTACATATCTGAAGTGTCAGAGATGCTGCTACACTACTGGGTGTACGTTATTCTGTTGTACTCTAGTGCTTTTATTTCCCCATCACCGTAAGATTTGAACACTTCAGGCAATCAACATTACATTGGGAAGAGAGTGCACTACATTCCCTTCTTCACTGTTTCATATTTCAGTATCTCTTTTGCCATGTGTATGAAGTAATGCAAAGGCTGTTCCCTGAACACCTTTTTTAAAATGTCTAAGACCAATTAAGGCCATTTTGCTCCTCCCACTCCAGTAATAACCATTAGGTCTTGACAGAGTGACTGCCAGGCAATCTACATGTCACAAAGCACAGCACCTTTGCTCCAAAGGACACAGAATTTTTTTCTTTTGTTGCTGTTGTTCTCCTTACCTGTATTCGCAACCACAAGGTACCTTTATTAAAGTTAGGTTTTAAATGTGGTGTATTTCAACACTATTTATATCGCACAACTGTCTAAGCCCCTTGGCACATGGTGGGTTGCTGTTTTAGAAATAAGCTGATAATATAGTTATAGCAACACTACTTGCAGAGTCAGAAAAAAAAACATCCAGCACCAGCAGAAATTGTGTATAGATTACTTTATCTCTGTATTCAATATAGATAAAAACCCTTCTTTGAAAAAAAAAATCTATGCTCCGGAAACAGTAGATAGGATGAAGCTAAGCACAATCTAGTGAATCATAAGACTTGTTGCTGGCTGGCATTGATAGCTAAGAGAGTTCATCTTGAAATAGTGCCATTAAATATTGATGACATCCTGGCAAAGGACAGTCCAGCCACAGAGGAGGAAATTTAGCTAGTGAGGGGGGTGGGGGGGTGTGAGAGAGAGAGACAGAGAGAAAGAAGCACACAGACACCATTCACATGGAATCATAAATCCTCAACTTTAGAACATCAAACAAGTGCTGTTGGTCGACATTGTCATGACAATTATGGTGCTTGCTATCTCTTCGCAATCCAAAGTTTGTACTAGACAAATAAACATGCAGAAATACATGTGGTATGTGGAAGAGTTAAATATTGGAAGAGAGTAAAGGTCTTTACTAGTCAGATGACAACGCAAACTCACACCTTCCAAAATGTATTGTGTGTCAGAATGAACATCATTTCCTGCCTTCCACAAGCAGCTTCTCTGGCTCACTGACCTTCCTTTTCTTCTTGGGTCCTATTACCTCTTCCTGGCTAAATGCAAGGTTCAGGCAGTTTATCTGTAAGAACCATCAGAAACAGCGATCATTCTCATGGTACAGGCTCCTGCTAGATGAGTCAAGAAATACAACTTCCAAAACTACAATGTGTTTTCCTGAATCCTCTTGGGTTTGTTCAGTGTGATCCTGTTCTCCAGAAAAGCAATTAGGCAAGGAATCAAAATTGGAATACTGGATGGAATTGGGACTGTAAGATTTGTGAAAGCAACAGGTTCAGCTTCAGGGACAGAGAATGGTTTTGGTGGCAGAAGGAACAGCACCCATCTCCCCACTGCCGAAAGAAAACACAAGGAGCAAGGAGACCTTGGAGAAATATAATAGCTTATAGGGCATAGCCTTTTTCACCAACCTCAGATAATCATAGAAGTATGTAAAAGAAGGGGGGCACGTGTCAAATTTGTGGTCACTGGAAACAGCCTTTCAGGAGGAGACACAGAGTACCTCTATTTGTACATCAGGGAAATTCAACACAAGTTGGTTGATCTCAGACTTCAAAGACTACCTGTGAGTCTGCGAAAAATAACTAAGCAAAGCAAGCTTTTTTCCAAGAGGCTTAACTTTCCTCTAGAAAGACATAGACCTCCCTCAAAAATATTCAGGGGCCTACAAACCAAAAGGATAAAAAACACGGATAAATGTATGTTAGAATATAAATGGGTCAATGGTACAGGCAATTCAGACAGACCACAGAGAGACGGAGAGCCAGAACAACAGTTGAAGCATTGGCTGTGCCAAGTGACAAACTCACTCATTCTCGTTATCACAGAACATATTTGCATTTTTACAATAATAATCTGGAGCTGCAGAGAGTAACGTGTGTTGTTGCCCACCCAGAAGGGACAAAGCACACAGTCTGGCAATGTAACCACTCTCGCTCTCACTGGAACTGAGCTGAAGGGACACACCACAGCACACTGCTTCAACTTTGCCTCCAGAAGAAAGTTCATTTGGAAGAAAGTAAGGTGAATGAAGGAGGAAAAGAGTGCTAACTGAGCTCCTGCTCCAAAACAGGAGTACCTTACTCCAGTTTCACTGTAAAACATGAAGAATCCTGTAACTGAAGCAGGATAAACACAAGGAGTTAATAAAGAGCTATTCCAGAATGCATCCTGGAGACAAGCACAAGGTCTCCAGATTACAAGATGTGGTCATTATAGAATTCCCCACTCACGTCACCAAGGCTTTCTTTCTATCTGACCTTGGTATGAGGCTTTGGTAATCTCTACATAGCAATGGTCTTTCTAATGTGTGAAATAACTCTGATTGTGGATTAACAGCAAAATAGTTTGAAACAACCTCACTTCGCCTCTCTATCGTGTTTCAAATTGTTTTTCCTCCCCTCTTCCCTCCTCTTCATTATGAGCAACACAATATTGCTTAATGCAGAAAGTACAATTTCCTTTCCATAAAAACAGAGAAAACAAGAATCTGCCAAAGTGGGACGGGCAGGTTCTCCTTCATCCTGCACACTCAGGCTGACAAAACTTCCAA